TTTAAAAAGTGGGTGGGGCTTTCAAAGTGGGCGGAGCCTCTCACAGTGGGCGGGGCTTCACGCAGCAGCCCTAAAATGCAAAAATTTTGAAAAAATATCGAAAGTCCGCGAAAAGCAAGTGGGCGTGGTCAGCCTAGATTGCCAAACCCTTTAGAGAATGGGCGGAGTCGGCCATGTGTCAATGCCCGGTCGTTTCCAGTCAAAGTGTTTGTGGGAAACAGCAAAAGCAGAAGTTATGAAACAAGATTTGAGAATCTATGTCCGCGCTGACAAGTGGGCGTGGCCGTCGGGGCGGGGCTCGCAGTGATGTCTGGCGTGATCTGGTTGATGAGTTGCCCGCCCTAATAAGTGTGGTTAATTTGATGTGAAAAGTGAGGGTGAATTTGGTTTGAAAAGGGGTGAATTTGGTTTGAAAAAGGTGAATTTGGTTTGAAAAAGGGTGAATTTGGTTTGAAAAAGGGTGAATTTAAAGTGAAAATGGTATATCTAAATTACGCTAAATCCATGAATTCTTACAGAATCTGTCATTCACTGAGCGAATCGTCAAAGACAAGGGAATGTTGGCACGTTGGGTATTCGGCATAACGATCGCGGTGTGCTTAGTGTTCATAGTATGCGTCTGTACATTCCGTCGACGATGTTGTAGGCACAAGGTAAGCCCCATACCTCGACAACTAGCTTATATACCGGTTTCCGAAGCGAACCATCGGAAACCGGAACACATCCAAGATTCGATCTCATTCGCCCTAAACTCGTTCCATATGTTCGCTGTTTCCAGGAAAGCAGCAAAACCTTAGCTGGTCATCGCTATAGCGGCGTCAACGCTCAACCGCTGGTAATCCCACCCGAGAAGGAGAGACTCAATCAATAATATGTTCCAACAGTGCATTTTATTTCCTATATTTTCTATAGTAAACCACACTTATAACTCGAAAATTCTGATACTTAGGTCCTAAATAAGTACTCTAGTCGAAAATTACTATTTTCTAATAATTACCAAGTTATCAGTGATTATCATTGAATATCATCATACATCACTCGTCGATGTGAAGACCTATTACAGGGTCTGTAGTTATACGGTTATCGTGCGAAATTCTTCGTCAAACCCGTTCATCATTGTTTTGACCAATAATATTCTATGTAGATACGACGTTCTAGCGCGTTTATGGTTCGTGAACTATTCGATATGCATATTTTCTATGATGATTCGTATTAAATCTCCATTGTGTTCTCTTCTGTAATGTAAACAAAGAATATTCTACAAGTCAATAAAATCTCTAAAACTTGCAATTACCATACATCGTCACAGACACGTCACAGAGGTCAGATGTTAATAGTCAAGATAAGTCGTCGTGTCAGTAATTACAAGGATTCCGAGTAACTGGCCTCTCGCTTTAGAAAAGAAACTTTTGCCTAGACCTGGGGGGGGGCATAATACCACCAAGGCGACATGCTGACCATCAGCTTGATACAGGGCTACGCCCCCCCCCCTTTTTTTTGGGAGTTGGTACGACCTCCCCCCGCCCTCTGTCCTCTGTCTTCCTCATCTCGAGGCCGACGAGCGGAAAGGCGGGGGGGCATTATAGTACGTGGAAACATGGAAAATCACCAAAGCAGGCCACTCCTACAAACGCCGAGCGAAAATAGTAAAACTACGACATCCCCTCCAAAAATGAATCAAATACCCCTACCTTTGCAACGTCATGAAAGCGGCGAAAAATCAAACATCAAACATAAATTTTCTCAGCCAGGTGACTCCCTCGCTCTGGCATCAAATAACGACCCCCCCCAGTTGGGGATTCCCCACAGCCAACGATGTGCCCTGCTTGATTACGTGGCTCACAAAGATCTGGGTCCGAATTTCCCAATTAGGGCTGCGTTCGCACTTAAACCCTCTCTAGACATTTGTCTGGTGAATGGCCTCGCTCCACCGCGAATAGTTGGACCGCAGCAAGTAACAGTCCAATAGAACTCATGTTGAATCTCTTTCTTGTAAACTCGCAGCAGTCCAACTATCGAAGGTGCGCGGGCGCGGATAAAATCGCTGACTAAAATCGCTCGCAGTGCTCTGGGTAAGCCGCGAACCTAGTGGTTTGAGGCCACTCACTCTTACTGGTCGCGCTGTCGGGCGAAGTAAGCGCCGAACGTCGGCCCCGTCGTTAAGCAGTGCATTTTTCGAAGCAATTCGTTGCGTTCACCCCGGATGAAACATGATAAGAACACATAATATGTGACAACTGTCATGATAACAGTGCATACAATTCGTGATAAAATGTAATAGATAATGATATATAATATAGAAGATATGCAGGGTCTCTGTTCTTCATTATTCTACAACGCTAAGAAAACACAGTTTCCGATATGGCCTGATTCGCTATTCGCTAGGAAAAGTCAAGAATCATTGCAGCTGCAACGCGACCGCGTGTCACCTTGTAAAGTTCACGCGCTACTTTCGCGCGCGCATAGGTAAGCATCGAGAATCTGGGAGAGGGAGACCATATGTTTCGTTCTTTTATCACGTTGCCGCTTGCATACTGCTGATCAGGTTGTTCAAAATGACTTCCTGCCCTTCTAACGCTTTTCGATTACACAGAAAAATTGTCTTCTAGAGTACTGTAAGATGATCACTGTAGAACCAGAAAGGCAAGAATAAGAGGTGTACCACTGAGCAATGCACATTGGCTGTAAGTCCCCGCCTACCCCGTAATCGCAGAATGTCCCTTTGAGAGGATCTTGGTCGCAAATGAATGTAAAACCTCTACTAAAGACTTGAAAAACATGGCTCAAATGGATTCCTGACCCACCACATAAATGTCCCCCTTATAAAAGTACTAGTACCAATCTCACAACAAAAAAAAAAAACAAGTAAAACTGAATCAAGGCAGAGTGAACAAACCAGCCGACTTTTCGTGCATATACGAAATAGAAAAATATTTGGAAAAGCAGCTAACCGGAACCGGCGGTGCATTGCTTTCTTCACAAGGCTTCGGCGCTCATCATCAGTATGGCTCCTAGTTACAAGCTGCTTGCAGCAATACAACTCGTCTGAAAGCACAATTCTCTTATTTGCTAGAAGATAAAGTTCCATTCACGGCTAATGAGAGGATTGCTTTGATTTATGTTGCATTGATTCAAAGACACTATATACGATGGCAAGATGTCGAATATTTCACTAAAATATGAAAAACAAGGTGGCAAAAGGCACGTCTGCTACGAAAACAACAGAAAAACCACATAAAGGCTCCCATTATAGTTTGTGACATCAATCAATGAGGCTCGCGCAGGACGCGGGATTGCATGCCTCCGGCGCCTGCTCTGCCAGTAGGTTCGAACTGATCGATCAATGAATAAACAGCAACCAGGGTGACACTTAAGGTAGTGATCGCTAATTACGACCGACTGATCGCGGTGATACAAATTGGTATCCACTAACTTGTACAGTCATGGCAATTGGGAAACTCGTCTGAGCATGGCGGCGCTCGGACGAGTTTCCCAATTTGCTGGCTTCCTGGTAATAGATCCAAATCAGTAGCAAATCTTTTAGCGCTAACCATAAAATGAGGACGGAGTCAAAAATACTACTATATTCGTGATATAGCATGTCCTGCTGCTGAGAAAATTTGCAAAATACGACCTTCCCAAGAACTTTCCTTCTCTTGGAGATTCCCTCCCCGTTTCTTCCGACCCACATCGACTTGTTTCGCTTTTCTTTTCCAGATCCTCCCCAGCTTTTTTCATCTGGCCAGGAATTTCTCTAGTTTTCTCCTAAAAACCCTCAAAACTGGCGTCGAGGGGCGGGGATTTACAGCGTACATGGAATGGGAAAAACTGAGAAGTCACAAATGAAAACGTTTTCCGCAAAGGTAAATACGACCTCCATGCTAGGATCTCCAACGTATTAGGTCATCCCATTCAAAAGTGACGAGACATATAGAGGAATGGCAGAAAAGTAAAGGGGATAGAGCAGCGGGCTACTACA